ACTTAAGAGAGGAAAACTTAATCAAGTATCATAGGTTATCCCTTATTTAGGAGAAAACTTGCACTTGCAAATCCTCTGTTCTTGGTGCAGCTGACACAGATGAATACAAAAAACAGCCTCACTGCATTCATATTTATAGTTCCAATTATGAAGAAAGATGCTTCCTACAAAGGGATGCTGGGAAGAGCTCCATTTGTTATCCTTGGTTAATAAGTATTATTTTTACATAAACACAGTTATGCATCACCAAGAAAGCACTGCAGGAAAACATGCTGGTGTGACCTGTGAAGAGCTGCATTCTGCAAAACCCCTGCTGGCACTTGACAGGGAACTGCCTGGACACATACAAGAGGATTCTCACATTTTCCAGCTACTGGAACCACCTCTCAACGTGCTGCATTCCCTGTTAAAATCATTGTGCTGTGCACAACGAGAATTGAGTCAAGTGACTGCTCTGAGGTAGGTAAAAGATGCAGATGTTTCTAAGAGTGAGCTCTCCTAAGACATGCTGCAGCCTTCAAACTCAAAGCCATTCGTTCAGTAATTTTTTCCAATTATTTCTATTTATTTCAAAGGGAATAAAACTTAAACTAAATTTATGGAGAAGAAAAAAAAGCAGGGGTTTCTACACCAGCTCCCCTGCTCATCTGTGCAGCCTGTGAGGTTGGTCCTTGCCTTCCAAGGTAACAAGTAAAGATATTTTGCTGCAGCAATTTCTGCCTGGTTCCCTGTTGTCCCTAAGGGGTTTCTCCCATCCCCCTGAGGGCTGGCTGCTCTCCTTGCAGCCTGTCACACTTGATATGGGCTGCAGCTCACAGGTTGGCATGGCAAATTTTTTGCCTGCCAGTCCATTGCCTGAAACTCTCTTCCCCAAGCTGGTTTCTTCCCCAGAGGGGCTGCAGGACAACCCTCCTCGCCCTCAAGACATATTCGTTTGACCCTCTCACTCCTTAAGAGAATCTTGTCATGTAATTAAGAGCCATCCATCTACTAGGTAACAATTACTTCAGCTGCTGTCACACTCTTACTCAATTATGAATGAGGCAATCTAGGCAATCCTGAAAACAGCTTCTAATTCCACAAAACAAGCCTGAAATCTAAGGTGTGCCCCATGGGACAACAGCACTGCTGCACACTCAGCTCCTATACTCCAAGCCATTTGTTAACCAAGGCTCAATCTAGACAACATAAAGGATAACCTCCAAGTGTCCTATTGCATGCTAAATACAGGAGAATTCATCAATTTGTGTTTATACCTCTGTAGCATTTCAATAGCAATGTTTTGAACTACTGGTTTTCTACCACATCTAGTGGCAAGACAACCTAATCCCTGCTCTCAAACATTTGCATCTTCATAAGGAGCACCAGAGAAATGGTTTATTGTGGGTTTTGCCCTTTACAGTCCAGGATTACAGAGCAATCCATGTGCCCCTCCAAAGTGACAGGATTAAGTTGCCTAAATTTAGCAATTTTAGATTGGTCAAGAGAAGCAAAACAGGACAATTCAAGTAACACATCAATACGTATAGCCATGTTGCCATGCAAGGGAGTGAGAGCTGCTCTCCCAAAAGCAAGGCCTTTCTGAGGGCTGGGCACTGTAAGAGGCAACTGATGTGAGAAGCAGAACACCATGTAAGAGGAACTCACCTGAGACACGTGTCATCCTGGTGGAAAAATAGCACTGCTCTAGGTCCTCAAAGTGAGCCGTGAGCCGCTTGCGTCGCGAAGCCAGAGTGCTGTTATACCAGGGCTGCTTTTTGGTCTGAGTGGAGAAGGGAGAACACTTCAGAGAGGGAAAGCCAGGCCGAGGGAGTTCCATTTCAACAGACTGTACCCAACTATAGACCATTACACACTATATGTGATGGGTTAGAAGTGTAAAATGACAGTAAATGAAGAATATTGCCGCTGTCAACAGTTCTTCTTAGGGTTCTATGCTGCACACTTGAACTTCACCAAAAAATGCTGCTTTTAGACAGTTTTGTTTCCTGAACCTTTGCATATTTAGTGGTTCTGGTCTCAGAGAGGACAGGCAGCCCCAGCCCTTGGGGAGTCCTGTCTTGCATTTGTACTGACAGATAGCAGAGGCCACCTTCCAGCTTCACAAATCAAACAGCCTGCACCACAAATACTCCCCAGATACCCGGCAGACAGCTCATTAAAAGAGAAGGAGGTGTTTATTTTAATGAGTTAGTTACTGAATTATTTCTTTTGAAGCAACTCGGTAACTCTCTATAAAGCTAAGCAAATAAAGAGAGAAGGAGAAGACAGTATGAAGTCCAGAGGTTAATTGAAAAGAAGTCCATGAAGCTCATCATTAAAGCCATTTCCAAACCTTCCCAAGCAGTAATAGTGAGAGGCAGAAGCAAAGGATTTAAACTACATAAGTAATCTGTCCTCCTGAAGCAAAACAGAACACTTTAATCACGAGTAAGGAAAAGGAACAAATTCCTCTACTGCCCAGGAAGCACGAAGAGTCCCTTGCTTTAGTTTCTCTTTAAGAAGTGTCACATATCACACCCTCAAAGCTAATGGGGAAATTTTAAAAGGTGGAAGAACCACCAAGCTCCCTAATGAACAATGTCCCTGAGGACATACCTACCTGAGCACACACCAGGCTGGTACCACTGGCACTAACAAACCCACTCTGTGCTCAACTCCCCCTCAATCCGTGCAGGGGAACAGGCTCTCCTCCTTACAGCCATGCAGGGAGAACCAACCATGTTTACACCCCACACAAATTTGGCTTGTACCTGCACGAACAGCAATCTAATAATTTAGGAGAAAGCAAACCCCAAGCAGTGAAACCTCCAGACAACACTTCCTGCCTGAGGCCACACATTGGCATCGTGACTCACACTTGCCTGGGACAGCACCTATGACCTACACAGCTTATTTCATCTCAAACCCAACTCCAATCTCAACACACGACACGGGGAAGTTCTCCTACACCTTTAAAGTAGAACTTTCTAAAACTTCACAGCTTTAAGACACTCAATGGAACACTATTGTAGCCTCTTCCTACCAATTTTGTGCACCAACCAATCTGCATGAACCCATTGTCAGACCATCCCCAGCTGAGCATTTTAATCTGCTCATGTTTTAGAAACAGAATATAAGGTTTGGACATGAAGCCTGCTCCCTGGCTACTTTGCTGAGCAATGCTGGGAAACAGGAGGGGAAAAAAATGAGACAGCCAAGACACCCAATTTTTATTCAACTGCTAAAACTACTACAGTTGTCCTAGTCGAGGACATTAGTTTGGATTGCTGTTATCAAGAGTGATTTTACTGTCTGAACTCCATCAGGTGCTCTAAAGAGTCCTCTAACAACTGTGAAAAAGCTCCATAGCTACACACAAGCTCCTTATTTCTAGCAGAAAAAAGGTACTGCCATTAACTCCTACCTGCAGAATTCCCTAGGGCCTATGTTACTTGTCCAGTATTTACTTCTGAAGTTCAGCTTCTGGAAGAAAACTGTCCTGGAGCTCTGTAGTATATAAATTCTTCCCTAACAACATGTTTGTGGGCAATGCACAAAGTAATTATATTGAGAAAGAAAGCTGTGCTGTCCATCCTAGATAGCTCTTACTGCCAGCAGTGCCCAATCTATGATTTTTGCTGTGACTGACAATTAGGGGGAAAAAAGCACAATTTAATTTATATTCTTAAAACTATTTTTATGGTAAAGTCTTGCTGAAATTAGACTACCTTTGAATGAAGTGTTTAACTCCAAGAGTTCTCTTTCAACTCCCCATCCAAACATATATTAAAGTTTAATTTGGAAATTTGTGCTAGAGAAGTACAGATCTTACACTCTTGAGGACAAGAAATTGCATTTGAGGACAAAAAAAGATTACTCTCACACAAATAAGGCTGTCATACAGTATGACTAGAAACTCTAGGCTGTTTGTTTTGTGAGCTCACCAGCAGGATAGCAGTGCCATTAATTTTGTCTTTGAAATAGGAAGTACTAAGACAAGTAGTGTCAGTGGAGAACAAACACACACTGTACCACATCAGAGCCCTGAACACAAATTCCCCATCCACATTTTACCTGCCCTCTGAAGTGAGGTAGAACCACAGTTCTGTGTTCAAGCAAAAACCTCCCAAGACCACAGTAGCAGGAAAACCAATATTTTTTCCCAGACTGATAGATTTCTCTAATTGCCAATTAGTTATACAGTTACAAACCCCAAAACCTTCACGCACATGCATCAGCTCAAAATTCAGGTGGTTTTTCTTTGCATCCAATAAGCTCCAACAGCACTTTCACCTGTTAGTTTCCCAGTTTGATGTTGGGGTGTGCCAGGGATGGTCTCCCACCACCACGAGAGAGCAGCCAAGGCACAGTTGGCATGTGACCAACAGCCCATCTGTCCAAATCAAAGCTGTTTAACCTGTTTGAAACTGTGAGCTGCATCTCAGTGTCACCTTCCCAGCCCAGCTGAATCCCTCTGAGCTGTGAGACTCCAGCAGTGCTGTTTGGAATTCGGGAGGCCCTGCAGATCACTTTGGAGGCTGCCTGCCAAACAGCTCCATTGAATATGCAACTTTTCCCCCCTCTGCATCAATTTATAACACAGTTTGTAAGGCCCTGACGAGGACAAACTACAGAACAGCTGCATCTGGAGTGTTTTTTGTTTGAAAGTCGTGCTTGATCCACAGCTATTTAAGCCAATGCAAAGGGTCAGGGATTCACCTCTCATCATGAATACTTGGAAGAGACAGTTTTGAAGGGAAAAAAAAGTCAAGATGTTTACATATTACTCCATTTTTCTTTCCCACAATCATTCCTACAGCTGCAGCTGCCAATACAACCAGTTAAAAGCATTTGCAAGGCTTGAGTAGACCAGTACTCTGGAGATGGATTAAGGAGCACCTAATCTCTGCCCAACCTTCACATTGACCCTCCTGTCCCCCCTTCCCAGGCACAGACACAGGTATTACCTTACCTGGGAACTGCCACTGAAGCCTGGAGGTTGGCTGTACTCTGTGGAGTCAATAATACTACTGCAAAAAAAAAAAAAGAAAAAAAGAAACAATCTTCTTAAATCACTGCACAGCCACATCCTTTCTCATTTTTAACCTGTTTGCTATTCCCCCCTTGCCATTCTGCAGCACACTTGCCTTTGAAATCCATTTTGCAGACAGGGAACACAAGGTTATATTTTATTTGGGGGTTTGGGAGAGATTTTTATCATTTTTTTTTTTAAAATACAGGGTTCTCCTAGAGCAGAATGCTATCACACACAATTGTGTGGAGTGCAGTCTAATAATTTCTAATTAGAATGCAAAAGCAGCTCTTTCAGATGAAATATGCAGGATGAGACATCCTGAAAATAACACACGACTTGGTTCTCAGCTCCTTTGAAAAAAAAAAAAAAAAAAAAGGTGTTTAATGCCTTGGCATTTGAACCAGTGCTGTGAAGGGAAAAAGCTAGAGACAGCAGTGTTAGACAGGAGTATTCCAGACACCTCTGAAGACACACAAAACAGGGAGGAGCAACGAAACACAAATAGACCAGAAAAATACTGACAGCCAGAAATACTGTTCCAAAATGCTAAACCATATGTTACTCTGGAGTATCTATAATGACACAACATACCTTAAATCAGTTTTCAAAACAGCACACACATGTCAACTCAATGAAATTTAACTTTCACACCTGCAAAAGGATCGACTGATCCAAGCAGAAAACAAGTGGTTCAGGGCTCTTGCACACATGGGCAAAACATTCAGCTCTCACAGTAAGACCAGAATCAGGTCAGAACACTCTTATCACTCAAATTTCCTATATTATCAAGACAAGTGGAGGTCAGCACAAGAAGACTATTTTATTAATTATGCAGAACACATTAAGAACATCATCGTGATTTGGTTCTAAAACCTTTGCATCTCACTTGCTTCTGCTATGGCACTAGGCTTGGGCAGAAGAGAAACTATCTGGGTTCATTGTTCTCAGCCTTATGAGGGAACCTTGGATTTAAACATTGCCTGGGAAAGCTGAAGGTATCTTAAAAAAGCTGCTAGGACACTGCTGTAGGTCCTGGTTTTGTCAATGATGACTGTACCTATTGCTGCTTATGTGACAGCTGCCAGAACTGGTGTGCAGACTTGAGATTCTTGGTCACAAACCAAGTGGTTTGGTTGAAATGCCAGTTGAGGCACCTGTAAGTTAAGTCTAGAGGGTGCAGCAGTGCTTCATACTAGTGCTTAAATATTTCTCTGAATGTTTTCAAGCTCTCCTGAAGATGGAGGGAAGTAGAAGCAAAAGATGAGAGAACACTTCTAATGAGACTTAAAAATTAACCTGGAAGATGAGATTGATTGGACTTCTGTTCCAGGCAAGACAAAAGCTGCAAACCAAGAAAATCTAAGGGATAAAAAAATATCAAATCATTACTTGCTGCAAGCTGCTGCAGAGGAGAAAAGAGCAGAGTTGTTTCAGGCATGGTTGGGGACAATGAACTTTAAATTAGAATGTGGCCACATGAAATAATGAAACACGTACAGCACATCCTGCCAGGAACAGCAGGAACAACACACTCGGCTGGAAAGCAATGAAAAAGTCCTCCACTCCCAGACAGGTACAGTGGCAATTAACAGCCAAACACACAGATTTGTAGTGTCTGGTCTCGTTTTGCTGCAGGTTGACTGGTGAGGTAAAGCCTTCAAGAGTGCAGATGTCATCTCTCTAACCAGAATACAAATTCCAAGTCATTTCTGTGTGGTGCCTGTAGCAGTTAACTGGTATATGCTGGTATGTTTTTTCCTTTTAACAGACAGGAAGGAAGCAATCAAAAAATACAGAGGTGCCCTCTGAGTTCTTTTAAAAGCTGTAACGCTAGGAAATCCAGCTACGCTAACATGACATTTAAAAACCTGAACAACAACAACAACATGGCAACCTGCAGACTATAAATCCCATTACAGGGGTGGGAGAGGGTAATTAGAACAAATGGAGAGGAAGGAGGATCAGGATTTTGATAACTGAATCAGAGTTACCAAGCAACTCATGTTCAGATCAGAATCTTCCCCCAGAAACTCCTATTAGTGATAGTTTGTTGTTGCTATTACTCCTGAGTAGCAGCCACAGAGAAGTTGCTTATTCCTCTCTCCTCTTTGCACCATTTACTGGGAGCAAAAATAGCACTCAGGCCTGTACAGTAAAACCCTACACAGAACCATTTGTTCTCTTCCCTTCTTCTTCCCCTCTCGTTCTCTATTAGTATACAAACCCAGCAATCTGCAAGGCTGTAAACAAGCTCTGTGCTATTACCCAATTTAATATTTCATCATCCCCCATGCAGGCACAAGAGAAAACACGTGTTCCTCACAGCCAAACATGAGAGCTGGGCCTGGTTCTTTGCTGAAGAACTTCTGAAGGGAGATGGGAGAGGCATAGTAATCTCCCATTTTGAAGATGTTAAGAACGGGGAGGGAAAAAAGCTACAAACAATGAAAAGAAACAGAAAATTAATGAAGCAAGCCTGTGATTTAGAGGAAGTAGATGAATAGGGCAAGTCACCAGAGACCAGATAAAACCCCATTTTCCAAAAGACTCTGTTTTATTGAAACTTGCAATTCAAAGGCTAAAGAAATTTTCTTCATCTCAGCACTAGCCTGTGATAACCTTGTACTATTTATAAGACACATTAGTAAAATGTTCTACAATTATATTTCATTAGCAGAGTGTTAAGCATGTTAACAAGTTGTATTTCAGTTTCAATATACCATTTTAATTCACTGATAAGTTAAAAAGTCTCTGCAAGTTTAATACCATTTAAGCATGGAAGTGAAACCAGCTCAAACTCTATTTGTATTTCATTCTTAGTGGTTCATGGCATCTCTAAAGTGCACTTTGGAGATTAAATATTTCAGTTAACAGAGCTGAAAAAAAAAATTCAGGGTATTTTCCTGCTCCTATCAGCTGTTCTGCAGAGTTCTTTCCAAGGAGGGGACATTTGAGACATTCTTTCTTCAAAACTTACATTTAATGTTGAAAAGAGAATGAAATTCGAGTCTCAGACCTTTCTGGAATCTGAGTTATGGTCATTCACACCAATTCGATTACTTGAATTACACAAAACTGTCAAGATAGGGTAAGGACAGAAGTCACAGGAGTCTGGCAACAACTTCTGCCTGTTCAGACACTTTTTTTCTTCAGAGACTGATTTCTCGTCAACCACTCGAGGCTACTTTACTTGTTAGTGCAGGAATGTCATTGAGGAGCAGATAAAAGGTCATTAGAGAAAAGGGCAAGCCCAGAACCCTGAGAAAAACCCTAAATCATAGAATCATATAATTTAGAGATTGGAATGAACTTTAGAGATCAACCAGCCCCAGCCCCCTGCCCTGAGCAGGGGCACCTCCTCACGAGATCAGATTGCTCAAGGCTCATCCAACCTGGCTGTGAACACTGCCAGGGTTGGGGCAGCCACAGCCTCCCTGGGCACCCTGGGACAGTGTCTCACCACCCTCACTGGGAAAAACTTATTTCTCACATCTGACCTAGACTTTCCCTCCTTCATTTTGAACCCATTACCCCTTGTCCTGTCACTGCAGTTCCTAACACAGAGTCCCTCTCTGGCTCCTTGTAGCCCCTTCAGATGTTGAAAAGTTGCACTGAGATCTCCACACAACCTTCTCTTCTCCAGGCTGAACAGCCCCAATTCCCTCAGCCTGTCCTCACAGGGAGATGCTCCAGTGCTCTTAGCAACTTCGTGGCCTCCTCTGGATTTGCTCCAACAGTTCCATGTCTTTTTCATGTTGAGGACACCAGAACTGCACACAGTATTCCAGGTGGATCTCATGAGATATGATATCCTGTACCACATCACACTCCTGGCACGCTGTACCAGAGGGAAAACTCAAAAGTTCAAGATAGAGCCAAGATGGAACCAGACAGGTATGAGAAGGTTGGGCAAGGAAGAGCCTGTGGTCTCTGCACCCATGGGTCTAACCCACTGCCATCTCCCAGCAGATCCTAGGTGAAGGACATCAACCCAAAAATCCCCACAATATCCTACACACTATCTTACATCTTCAAAAGCAAGAGCTGAGATTATTTCATGTCCTAGAGTCAAACAGGCCTAAAATAATAGTAAGAAATTCTCAGTAGAGTGAAACCAGTGCAGCTCTCACTGCAGAATTTTCCCCCATCAATTTTCACTGAAACTCTTGGGCTTAAATTGTTATTCCAGCTTGCAACAGATAAAAAGCTTCTTTAGGAGGTTGTTTGTTAGCTTGGCTCAAGTAATAGAGATACATTTCTACTCATAAGTACAACCTCCTGTTATAAAAAAAGAAAGGATTCTAGGCCTGAAGGTGTTCAACAAGTAACAAATGGAGCCCAATCAGTGCTCAAGTTTGCCCCAAGCATCAGTGCCAGGAAGCAAACCCATCTATTTAATAGCCAATAATCAGAAAACTAGTAGAAGCTGACAAGAATCTCAGCAGCTTCACAAAGCTACTTCTTGGCAAAGCAGCAATAACCCATGTGAAAAAACACCTGCAACCAAAAAAAAACCACGAAAGAAACAGTGAAGAGCTGAATTGGAAATGCTGTTCCCATCCATCTTGGCCATATTCCTGTCCTTTCCCTCAGGGCCAGCCAGAGCTTCATAGAAATAGGAGAGATTCTGGTCTCAGTGTCCAGAAATAGGATCTTGGTGGGAAATCCCAGCCAATATTTCCAAGTTCCTCACCTCACTGCATCTAAATCTCTGTAGGGGAGGAAATGGGATCATTCTTTCTTACTTACTTCTGGGCTATTAGGTTTAGAGCTTCTAATTGCAAAAAATCTACTAGTCCAGTTTTATAACAAAAGCCAAGAGTTTAGACAACTCTACTATGAAGACGTAGGAGAGATGATAATTTAATAACTTATCTAGGCCCTGTGAAATTAGAGCTTTCTCATCACCAAAAGATACATCTATAAAGTGAAGCACTTCAAACCCTGGCATATGCAGCTTGGACACAAGAAGCATCAGCAATTTTATCATCAAGAAACCAGACTGTGCAATATTCCATCCCAAAATCTACCCAGAAAATATGTTATTTGAAAGGCATTTCATGAAATCAAACCAGACAGCAGATAAGCAGAATCAATAGGCTGTACATTTTACATTTTGATCCCCAGCCCAGACCTTCAGCTATTCATGCTGAGTGGGAAAGCCAGAGGACATCAACATCATATAAAATTAAGACCTTTCATATGCCAAGCAGAACTGCATAATGTTCAGAAAAGGTAGCATGTAAATAACAGCAATATTTCATACCATAGCAAAGGCTTATGACTCAACTTTACTAATCCAACTGCATTTAAAGCCATCAGCTTTCCACAGCATCTGCTCTAGAGGAGATTTTTCATCCAACTGCAGACTCAGATGGTTTTTTCTTCACTGCTTTGTTCACATAAAGTTTAGACCAACCAAAACCAGAACAGAAAAAACACTGTATGACACTCACAGATGAGTTTTGCTTGTTTTGGACACAGCATGGAGAAGACTAGCAAGAACAGCACAACATATGCAGCTTGAAATCCAAGTTCTGAGTTGCAAGCTCCATACCTGTGTGAAGGTGAGGGAGCCTCAAACTGTGGCACTGTGCTGTCCTCACTGACTGGGGAGTACAAACCACTCATTTCCTGAAAGAGAAAGCCATGTTACAGTAAAGCTGACACAACATGAAGAGTAGGCACTGCCTAATGCATGGGGTTCATATGGTAGCTCTGATGCTGACACAACATGAAGAGTAGGCACTCCCTAATGCACGGGGTTCATATGGTAGCTCTGTTTTTTCCAACTCTGTCTAACTTTATCCAACTCTTACCCAAAAATCTCTACTATACTTGATGCAACATTGATTTTCTTCCATTTTTTTTAGTCATCATTCCAACTGGGTTTGCTTTTTGCCCCAAAAGGGGCAGTTCTGGAGTTTATACTCCAGAACCCCAATTGATCTGGTTAGCATCCAGTTGCCTCTAACCCAGCATCTCCCTTAAACATGGCAGAACCAGCAAGCTCTAACTGCAGTTTTGAGATACATGAAGACTTATCCAATAGCCTTTACAGCTGGAAAATCACACTGGATATGGAGCATGGCAAGAACAGCCACAAAGCAATCGGATAAAGGTGGTGCCCCAGATCAAAAGAGAATCCATCAAGTCTTCTGTGGGGCAAATGCACAAGAGATGAACTTTGTACATAAACTTGGCTTTGTCACTGCCACACTAAGTCACTGCTGTGTGCCCAGTATGAGGCTGGTCTTTCATCTGTTTGGGAAATGGAAGCTAGGCAGGATGCAGCAGCTCATTAGTTAGGGGACAAAGTGCTCCCAGGACAATATCACTTGAGCTTTTAAATTCCCACTAGGTGCCCATTAGTTGTTAGGTAGAAAGTAGGATGTTTGTGACAAGAGAGATCCCAAGCTTTAGAGGTCAGCAGCAAGGTCATCATCACACCCCAGGAATGTCCCCCAGCTGCAGCCCACTGAAATGTCTGATGAAAGAGCAGAGAAACAGGGAGCTCCATATTCTCTGAGAGATCCCACAGCTTTTGGGAATAGCTTCTCCTAGATCTCAAGATCTATTTTACCAGTCTCGAGAACACACAATAAGGTATATTTATTTCCCCAAGCTGAGAAACATTTAGGGAGATAAAAATTTCCAACAAACAGAAGTTTCTGCAGTTGTCAGTTGGATTTAGATTTTGCTAATTCATCAGCATGCATAGAATTTTGTGAAGAAAGCTAAAAGGCTTTTGGGCAGTGGTTGGGAGCTCATGCTGATGAGCAAGAAGAGAGAAGCAGACCTGCAAACCGATTCCCAAGAAGCTTGAAGGGTATGCTATTTTGAGAGGTGGCAGTCTGATGTATTCCTGAAACATCAGCTCCAAGATTAAACACTAAAATGATTAGAGGGAAGGACCAAAGAGGAACCTAAGGACTCTGTAAGGACAGAAGGATTGCACTGATGGGTTTACACATACTTGGAGAATATTTCTGTGCAAAAATCTCAAGAGATTCCCATCATTAAGGAATTAAGGGTATTATACCAGGAGGCAGCAGGCATCTGTTTTGACATGCAGCAGGAGCTGGTTCTGCTCCTACCCAGCCATAATGACTCTCTTGTGCACCCCCAAGCCCTCTCTGTTTTCAGAGTGACATGCTGCTAAGATTTAAACAGCCTGTGCAAAGAGCCAGAACACTGCAATGTACAAAAAAATCATAACTTCTGATCAATATACTGCCTGTTGATTTCTAGCAACTACTCTAAAATACTTACTAGCAACACAAAAAAAAAAGTGAAAGGAATGATTATGTAAGAGCTACCAACCTGCAGCCTGCACACATCCACTAAATGAACAAATTAAAGAAAGAACATCAGCTGTTCATTTTCCCATTACTGACTCAAATGCCATAAATTTAACACAGCAGCCCCACAGCAAGGCAGACAGCTTGATGGAAATGAAAAATGGCTAGAGTCAGAACAATGTCTGGGCTCCTCACCTCTACTCGTTTAATATCTTCTTCCAGAACACTTAGCTCCTTCTGGATCTGCTCCAATTGCTGTGGAGAAGAGAATGGGAGAGGTCTAAATCAATCTGCACTGCACCACCAACAAGATAAATTACAATCTTTTCCGAGAGGAACCTGAACTCTCTTAACTGGCATGCTACATGATTCAAAAGGCAGGAGGCAGCAAGTTCAAATGCCCAGATTAACATAAGTGTGCACACAAACCACACTCAAGGCAAAGCTGTTCTTTTGAAACAATGCAAAACAAGAGCATAAAGTACTTAGATATCAATCACAGAGTCTCACTTATTCAAAGTAATACTCTGATGCTCATCTAACACCTCTCACACAAGGTGTAACCGGTTCACAAACACTGAGGAGAGAACCCCAGAATGTGTTGGGATGGAAGAGACCTTAAAGTTCATCTAGTTCCACCCCCTGCCATGGGCAGGGACATCTCCCACCAGCCCAGATTGATCCAAGCCTCATCCAGCCTCCAGGGATGGAGCAGCCACAGCTTCTCTGAGCAACCTGTAGCAGAGCCTCAGCACCTCACAGGGAAGGATTCCTTCCCAATATCCAATCTAAACCCACCCTCTTTCAGTTTAAACCCATTCCCCTCCTTGCCCTGTAACAATTAGTAAACACCCACCAAAACCAGTGATCATTTCACCTTTCAACAAAATGCAAAATGTTTTGTTAAAAGGCTTTACGAGTATTTCTCATGCTAACCATTAATCTTTCATTAAGTTGGTAAATGACAAGTTTTGGACTGGGGAAGAAAACCTGTTATGACCAGAGCAAGATTTGCTCCTTGCACCAAAGCACCACATAGCATTTCTTTCCCAGGTGTGATACTTAACCTTGGATTCCACCATAAGCCCCAGTCAATTTACGGGTCAGAAAGAGTCAGAAAAGGGACATCCCCTCTTCAGCCAACATCCTCCTTCCCTTCTTTGTGCCACAGGTACTATTTTCCAGGTTTTTCAATGATTTGTCAGTCAGTCAGCAACCTGGCTTCAGTCACCTTGAGCAACTATAAAGCCACGGAGTTGACATTTGTTTACACCTAAGTAAGGACATGATCTACTTACCAGCTCCAATTCCCACCCTCATTCAGCAGACATCTCCCACCCAAACACCCACAGAGCCTACACCCGGCCCTGAAGGGCCCAAAAACACACACACTTCAACTGAGAGCTCCAAGTCTGGATGTAAGCAGAGAAAACTCAGGACCAGTGCAAGTCTGGTTCACTAAGACACACAGGTCTAAGGAATACATGGAGAACTGGAAGTCCACCTGACTCTCCTCAGCTCACAGCCCTAGCAATGTGGGCTGTGACCAGAAGCTGTTGCTGAGTTGGTCATTCCACTGAAAGCTTAAGCACAACACATTCTACAAAGGCAAAACAAATTTTTGCCATTTTGACTTCACAAGGGATGTCAAAACTGGCCAAACTCAAAGTTACTAGTATAACAAAACATGTTAGTCTTAACATGACCTATTCCCAAGGACATCTAGCAAGCTACTTCCAAATACTTATTCGCTCAAGTGTTTAAGCTTGATCCTTTAAGTGTTTTGCTTAAACAAAAACACAGCTTAGATCACACTTATTGTCCAGCATTCCAAAGATCTGTGTGCTCTGCACTGGATAATCTATCACTTCAATTCTCCTTTTAAGCACTAACAAAAGTTTCTGGCCCTGAAGACAGGAGAAAGACTAGTGTATACACACCTATTTCTAACCTGGTTTCTTCCTTGGAATGAGATGACATTGTATTTATATCCTAATCTCTCTCCTCTGAAGGTTTCAGTGTATATTTAATTTGAGGCACAGACAGCAGAAGTTTAATGGTTTAGAACTAGGCTGCCAGAGATAATTTACAAACCACTACACCATAACAGATAATTCC